GTTTTCTCGTTGACGCGGTTCCCCCAGTTTCTGAAAAGGCTCGTTGGCGTTTGACTGGTTTTGCTGTTTCCATTTGCCAGATGTTGCGTTGTCCCTCCGCTCGCCCGAGGTCGCCGCGCTCTTCTCCCGCACCCCTGGCCCGCAGGGGGGACGGCTCCCCTTTCAGGCCCAGTCTCCATTAGGGCGGTGCTGCTCGTGCCCGATAAAGGCCCTTGGACAGTCCAGCTTTGCGGCTCCGCAGATAAGCACTAAGCTGTATTTGGTTGGCCTGTTGAGTGCTTAAAATTCTGGATTATTTTCCAGTTTTTTGAAGTCAGGAAATTTCACCTAGCTCCCCTTGAAACACTGGGAGACCTGCCCACACTGAGCTTTATTAGCCAGGGCAACACGGTGGCCTGGTTTACTCATTAACAGAACAGCCAGGCCCTGCAGGGTTGCAGAGGGAGCCCGCTGACCTACTGTGCGCTCCATGCATCCTTCATTCAGGAAACACAAGCTCAAAAGAACCTGCCCTGTTTGTCTCTCTGTGCTTCTGATAACAATGTTTTTTGGGAATAACGTTCACATTTGAATTTTTCCAACATTAAAGGTTGTCCTTAGAGGAATCGTATCTATTTGCAAAAAACAAAAAACAAAAACAAAAAAGGGGCAGCAGTTCAATGCCCTGCTTGATTGGAGCCTCACATTTGTCCAGGAGAAAGTCAGATGGTGAAGGCTGACCCCTCGGTGATGTAGGTCCTGGCCACTGGGAACAGAGACACCGTCACGTGTCACGTGTGCTGCGGGTGCTTGTGTATATTTTAGTGTCAGGATTTCTCCGTGGCTGTCACAGTGAGGTCCTTGATCTCTGTGTGGGCCGTGCCGCTCGCCACCCCTCTCCGCTGCCCGAATGGCGAGTCCTCGGTTGTCTTAACCTGCCTTCGTGTTCTTGCTGTCCTGTCTCTTTGGTCTCAGTCAGAGTGGAAAGGTTATTGAGGTTTCAGTGCCTAAAATACTTCAGAAAACAGTATTGGGTTAGACTAGAATCAACCCCCCAGAGGCCGAGGGATAGGATGTTTTCTGCCTGAGAATAAAAAATGTCTGCTAGAACCATAACGCCATTCTCCTGAAATGCGTATAACCTCATGGAGCAATATTTACCCCACACAGAAACACGCTGGGCCGGGGAACAGGGAGCCCAGGAAACCAGCCGGACACTGCTGGGCACCGTGTTCTTTGTTTTAAAAGGCAGATCTGTGTGTTTGCTGTATGGAAAAGTGCATGGAGAAAGCAAGGCACTAAAAACTACAATGTGCTCACATCTGGGTTCCAAAGTTTGATATGTGCAAATATTCTCACCATGTGCAGATTTAACCTCGTCAAACACATTTATAAAATAAGCAAGAATGTACTTGTATTTCTTGTAAGGGGGTCATACTGTACGGCCTACATATCCACACTTGAGTGCTCTTGGTGCTGCTCTGCTGGGCGCCTTCTCCCTGCTTTTCTGTTTAATCCTGATGCCTGGCCTCGGGCTCAGCACCAGGTCAGCATCTCCCTCAGGGTGGCCTCCCTGCTGGGGGCGGTGGGCAGGGTGGTTTGGCTCCCAGGTCCACGTTCTCCCCCTTCCTGTGAGTGACAAAGATGATCCAGCTGCTTCCTTCCTCAGGACACTTCCTCACTCGTACTTTTCTCTGAATAAAGGGAAATGGGCCGGTCACAGTGTCGGGATCCATCTCAGGACTGACCCAGGGCGAGCACGGCTTCCACGTCCACCAGTTTGGAGACAATACGCAAGGTGGGTGCTGCGGGGCTGGCGACTGGGACCTGTTTACCCCGGCAAGACAAACAGCCGACATGAGAGAGGGCCAAGGCCAACCCTAGGGACTTAGTGAGCCAAGGAGGGGAGGGAGTTTTGTTTTTAATGGTGATTATGGTCTGATTATGTAAGAGTCTCAAGTGTTCGTTAAGAAAAACAGTTGTGCTTTTTCCTGCCACCTGCATGAACAGTAGAAGGCCGCTGAGGATCACACCCTGGGCCTCTTTATTCTCAGGGCAGTGGAGAAACCCAAGTCCAGAGAAGGGTGTGAACTTGGCCAGTGTCACAGGGAACTTGGGCCTTGTCTCCCCCTGACCCACCCATTCTGTCTGCGCTCTGGAATTTTGATTCGTAATTTAGTTACTTTATTTTTTTTTGTAACTAGGCTGTACCAGTGCAGGTCCTCACTTTAACCCTCTGTCCAGGACCCACGGAGGGCCACAGGATGAAGAGAGGTGAGTGACGCAGTGCTGGACTCTTACGAGAGTAATGGCCCTGGCCTCGGGTCAGTGTGGACATACTGCTCGCAGACTGCATGCTACATGAAGTGCGGTCTCCACCGTAACCCTCTGCCGGGGCTGAGGACCTGACACACGGGGACACTCAGGCAATTTGGATTTGTAGCATTTATTGAGTTCAGAATTAATACAAGCGCCAAGGGGAACTCATACAGGAAATGAGGAACAGTACTGCCAACCACTAACAAAATAAACCATCACTCCGAGACATAGGAAGCTTTGTAGATAGAAATCTGATACTGAAAAGTCGAGAGTCCATTCCTACGCTTGTTTCTGAGAGCCTTTTAGGAAAATAGTAAGTTTAAGGACAAGAATTCGTTCATTTTTGTAACAGAGGCAGCCTAAGGCACAGCTTTCTTAGCCGGTCCAAGGAAGGACAGGCACCTGTGATCCTCTCAACAATAAAGGTAAATTAAGGGGAAAAGACCAAAAAACAAGAATGGACAGAGCCCAGGAACCTCGATGTGCCCTTTAGTTACCTCACCTCTGAATTGGGTGAGCCAGCGCCCCATTCCTGGGCATCGCTGTAGACTGAAGCTGTTTAAAGAGCTGTGTCCACTGTGTGAAGTGGCTCCTTTTGGAACCACATTGTGTCCATGTCTCAGCCCGGCCTTGTCTGACCTGCGAGTTTATAACTCAGCTCATGAGCTGCTCTGTCTTTCTCAATGCCAGGCACGTTGGGGACCTGGGCAACGTGACTGCAGGCTCGGATGGCGTGGCCAAGGTGTCCATTGAAGACACCGTGATCTCCCTCTCGGGAGACCACTCCATCATTGGCCGCACGATGGTGGTGAGTGTGGAAGGGTGTGCACAGCAGTTCCTCCAACACGCAGTCCTGTCCTCATGACGACGAGTCCTGGTTCCTGGGGACCCACTCACTGGAGCTTTAGTTCCGATGGGCAGCAGTGGTTACTCTGTCAGGGGCAGTGGAGATGCATCAGTGTCTAGGTCAGTTCTGGGCACCGCTCTGCGAAGATGGGGATGAGGCAGGTTGCCCCGGGTCACGGCAGAGCCAGCGGTGTCTTCACTAGATTAAAGTGACTGGGGTCCCCTTGCAGTTACACAGGACACTGTGCGAGTCTGTCTCGGACGGACCTCGGCATGAACCGACCTCGGCCAGTCTCGGGTCACCACCACTGTTCAACGTGGGAAGTGGCTGCCCCGCTACCCTGGGGCTGCGTCTGGGTCACACAGACACCGGTACAGGCAGGGAGGGCAGCTGTCAGTGGTCACTTCTCTCGTGGACCCGATCCCGAGCATGTTCTTCAGCCAGAGTTGAGAAGCAGAAAAAATCCATGTTTGATGAGAGAAATTTAAAGTACTATTTTCAAGTAGTTGAAGCTATTTTGAGGATTACTCTTATTTATAGGCTAGTCATTAGGCATGGATTTGATAATTTTTTTTGAAGGGGGTTCACTTCTTTGTCAAAACAATTTATAGTACAGAAGAGTGACCCCTGTGAGTGAGGTGAGGGGCTCCTCACGGAGGATCAGCCAGCATGGGGCAGCCGCAACACAATTAAATTGTTCAGGTTTAGTATTTCAATTAGAAATAGCTGCGTTTACCTCATGTCCAGAGGTAATTTGTGTCTGCAGCATCAAGAAAAAGCTGGAGTAGTTCCTACTTTTTATTACTAGATTAAGTATTAGTGTATTTCTCTACTAGGGTTATTTTCTGACACTAAGTGGTTCTTTTAGAAGTCTTTTGGGCATTGTTGGGAAGGGGTATAATTACTTGATAGTCCTAAGTTATATGTTCTTAACATCTTCCCAAGGTCCATGAAAAACGAGACGACTTGGGCAGAGGTGGAAATGACGAGAGCAAGAAAACGGGGAACGCGGGAAGTCGCCTGGCTTGCGGCGTGATTGGGATCGCCCAGTAAACATTCCCTAGGACGGGGTCCGAGTCCTAGTAACTCCTGTTATCTTGATAGTTGTAGAAATTTAACTTGATAAACATTAAACACTGTAACCTTCAGAGTGTAACCTGTGTCTTTTTTAAAACTGCTTTAAGTTCCTGTGATGTGAGCTCATTTGTGATCACTTGGGAGATCTGTGTGACTGTAAATCTCGTATTCAGTGAAACTTTCAGTGACGGTCGTGCTTCGCCAGACTCGGCCCCGTGCGGGTTGAACGGAGTTGTCTAAGTTTCTTCCCTTCTCACCCACGCCTGCAGCACACTCCCGACAGGGCACAGTGTGTGAAGCATCCACACTGAGACCGCACCAGCTGACGCACAGCTCGAACGGAACAGGCTCGGTGCTGTGGACGCGTTTCGGAGCTCTCTCTGGGAAGTGTTTTAACAGAGTCACAGTGTTCACGTTTTTCACGGCTGGTTTTTAAACTTGGGTCTATGGTTGGAGAGCCCTTTGCTAACTTAGTGACACCGAATGGCATTAGGGCCTCAGTGGCTGATGAGACGAAGTCACCTACCTGCCAAAATGGCACTTACGCCCTCCTGTCGACACGTGAACACCTGGTTTGTAATACGAGCAGAGGTTGGCATAATCAGCAGTCAGATTAGCCCTTTAGAGATGTACAGCAGCCCTGAGACGGAACCAAGGACATGTCTGACCGTCACCCAGTGACTGCAAGTCTGTCTCTAAATATTCGTGTATCTGTAAGAGCGTTATTTTAAACGGAATGTCACTCTAACTCAGGTTTGACACTTTGGGTTAGTTGCCTATTGAATATATGTAAAATATTTCTGGTAGCAAAACCAGAAATGAGCTACAATTCTGATTGGTCATAAATATATGATGTACTTTATCCAATGTAGATCATTTAGGGGGAAAAGCTAATGTAGAAAAAGGTGACTTGTGTTTTCAGTTAAAGTAGGTGCTCACAGTAGGTGTTTAGTTAAAGCCAGTTGGGGAGGAAACAAACTACTGAACAAGGTCTGTTTTCCATGTATAGGGTGAGACTCAAGAGAGACCCTCGTGACCTCTGAGGCCTCAAGTGTACTCGCTACCACTTTCAGTACTTCTGGGGGGGTGTCACATGCGAACAGGGTGGTCTCAACTTTCAACCGGAAATCGAGGTTTCTTGCCAGAAGCAGTTTGTTGGGACTTTTAAGCTTCTCAGGGGGCCCACTAGGAAAGTTTTATGACAAGTCGGAAGACAGGAAACGGGACTTTCTCTCCCTTTCTAATGGCAGGGGCACAAGAACATGGCCCTAGACACCTCCCCTTGAACTTGCCGCACACAGAACATTAGGAAAACCCAGTTCTGCAGCCCTGCCTGGGAACGAGGAGAGACAGTTACCTGCTCGGCACACTGACACCAGGACAGTTAAGACTGTGACTTAAAAAAGCTTCAACGAGGCCACTAACACTTGCAAGGTCTCCTTAGCACTGGCTGAGCAGCTGCCTGGAGCCGTCCGATTTGGCTTTGCATGTCTTTGTGTAACAGCTCGGATAACCTGGGTCTTTGCGTACTAGTTGTCGGATAACCTACAACTGTTCCTCCTTTCTAACGATTTTAAGCAGAGGGATAAAAGGCGGCAGAAAGTTCCTTCTACCTCTGCCCAGACAGGAGTTTACAAAACCCGCAAAGAAAGGCAACAGGCAAGGCTTGTCAGAAACAACAGTTTGCATCCAAGTCCTTAAACATATAAAACAAAACAAAGCTTTTACGTTGCAAATGTCAATCTTAATTTCTCTCCCCCTTTTAAAAATTTAATGGGATGGTAAGAAAACGCTCAACCTTGTAAATCAGTAATACCCAGGCAATCGGGTAATTCATTATACAACAGGTCAGGTGTGGGTCCAGCTTTTCTCCCAGCAGGACTTCTCTTTACAAATTATTAGGTCAGCATTTACCACAAAGCCAACGGCAAACACAAACCTTGACTGAACCGCAAAACAAACATGAAACCCACTAACTTTTACCTCATGATTAAAATGCTAAAAGTGAGAACTGTTACAGATGAAAGTGCACACTAGCAGACGCCTACTTCCACCAGAAGCCTAACTCGGACGCCGCCAGGGCGAGCAGCTCCAGCGTCGCCGCGAGCAGCCCTGCACCTGGCGCGGGGCAGGAAGACCAGCACACGTGAGTTTGTTACGAAAATAGAGTTTATTAAAAACATCCTATTGTCTGAGGAGCTTTCACTGTTAACCTTGTCTTAAATTAAAAAAAAAAAAATAGAGAGCACTTCTAATTACGATTTGTAAACTTTTTAAAGTCAAAACTTTTAAAAAGTTACAGCAAAAAGGGTAATATTTATTCATATTTTCAGCATTTTTTGTTATTTTGTGGCTATTTTTAAATAGAGGGAAGCAATCAAATTGCTTACAAAGCCCCACAACTACCGTGGGTGCCGGCGGAGCAAATATAATACAGCATCTGTACACTCGGCTCTGCGTGCAGCGGAGCCACCTGACCGCGTCTCTAGCGAGCCTCTGCTGCGGGGCCGGCGTCCTTCTCGGGCTCGGCGGATGAGGTAGCCTCAGCAGGCGGCTCTTCAGCAGGCTTCGCGGGCACAGGCTCAGGCGCCCCCTTGGCAAGTTCTGAGCCCGTGTCTGGGTTTCCCGCTTGGCTAGGAGGCTCGGCGGCCCTGTCTGCCACCTCGGGCCTCTCCTTGGCTCGGCTCTCCTCCTTCTCTCTGCGAGACTCTCTATCCCGGGAATCTCTCTCCCTGTCGCGGTGTCCGCCGGACCGTCTGCTTCTGTCCTCCAAGTCTCTGTGCCTGTCCCGGTCAGGGCTCCTCCTTCCCCACTCTCTCCTCTCCCGGCCACCACTCTCCCTCTCGTCGTTTCGGTACCGGTCCCGGTCATTTTCCACCCTATTTCCAAAAGATCTTCTTCCAAACCTCTCTTGGTCTCTACCTGAATTGAACTGCTGCCTGTTGTCATTTCTGAACGGCTGTGGTGGCTGTGTTGGTGGTGGCTGCTGTGTTGGTGGCGGCTGCTGTGTTGGTGGTGGCTGCTGCTGTGGCTGCTGCCTCCCGTCTCTGTCTTCAGGGCCCCCTGGGCCTGGCCCCGGGCCCCCGAGCCCTGGCATGCCACCAGGCCGCACAAAGGGGCCGTGTGGTGGGAAGGGGCCTTTCATCCCGTGAGGCGGGGGCATCCCAAAGCCCCCTGGTCCAGGTGGGGGGCCTCTGTGCATCATGTGTGGTGGCATGGGCCGTGGCGGCATCAGCGGGAACCGCTGTAAGTGTGGGGGGGGCATCCCCGGAGGGCGCTGCAGTGGGATCAGGCCAGGGCGGGCACCAAGAAGACCGGTAGATGGTGCCTGAAGCCCGATGACAGGACCGGGCGCAACTCCTTGAGTACCTAAAAGGCAAGGAAAGTAAAAATGTAAACAAAATAAAGAGAAGAGGGCGCTGTATCTTCAACCGTCTCCTGTGCAGCTTGAAGCAAAATAAAACTCCATCCACCATCTTCAGAGTTTGTATTGTTTGCCAGTCTACCTGTCACTCAACAGAGGGCCTGGTGACAGCGACAGCCAGCAGTTGAAGGTACACCGTGCATTAAATTAAGATACAGATCATCAGTACACTGTACGGATTAGCATCTAAGTAGAGGTCAGAACGAGCTGGACAAGGAAACTGATACACCAACTTCGGGGAAGAGGAGGGACCCTTCCTGAGGAAGGAGCTGCTCACCACTCAGAACACTCGATGCCTGAGAAACACAATGTGCTCAAGGAACAAAGGACTGAACTGCGCGAGCCAACTGAAGTTACTCCAGGTGCACTCTCAGGAAAGGCAAGTCCTGATCCGACTCAGTACCGCTGAGCCAAGTCCGGCAGCGGGCACTCTGATTCCGAGTCACTACTAGGTACGCCCTGTGTAGCTGTCTGCAGTAAGTAGCCCTCCAACACTCATGCAGGTGACATAAAGACCCGCACAGAGTTGCAGCATTAATTGGTACAGGTAGGTCCCTTTTGAAGCGTAGGGCATGGTGCAACTTGCTGGACTGAGACGCCCACTTAGGTCCAGCCGCTCAGCCTTCCACCTTCTAGTCCTCCTACAGAGGTGGCGAGACTGACAGAGCCGGTGCTGCTGAAAGTGACAAGGACGTGCCGGCTCTCTTTCACTCTCGTGAGGATTGATCATGCTTGTTTAAGAATTATACAAATTCAACAACCCACCACTTATGCAATGGGAAAGAGGTATTTCTGTTGGGTTCATCACTTAAGTAACAGAAAGGCCGTGTTCTCTCTTTATTTCTCTGCAAATAGGAACATCATGAGGCAAACACCATGCAGGCAGGAGTTACTGTAATGGATGTGTCTCAGATACCGTCAGAAGATGCTAATCACGCATGTGCCACAAGCCGGCCTTGGTCATGGGCGACGGCCGTCCATGTGGCTGCTGACAGCAAATGTCTGAAAGCCAACCCAACATTCAACACGGAGTATCTGCACCTTCCCCAACGTCCTGCTGTTTTGTTTCTGCCTTCAGTCACCTCCTCCCACCCGCTGGAACAAACATTTAACAAGTCCGGCTGGCTCCCAGGTTTTCTGTATAAACTATTAATACAAATATGATAAACAAGACTTTCTGCTTCGGTTGTTGCTCCTCATAAGATGTGGCCCAGTCCTGTTCTGCAGGGCTTAAGCACATGGACACGCACCAGCTCTGGTATTTACTCAGAACGCCTTCTTTCAAATGCTCAGGGACAGATGTTTGCTGACATATAAGCTTATGAGGTCTGACCTTAGAAACAGGGATAATTACACCTGCCTCTGGTTCAGATTAAATGGCAGGACAGACACAGGGTGAGCTAAGAGCCTGGCACAGGGTAAGTGCTGGAACATTACTCCACACATCCATGCTGACCGTTGATAAATATCCTAACGCTAAATATCTAATGCAAAAACAAACATCAGTTTTCATTTCCCATAATCAAGATCACTTAAACAAGTCTAACTTTACTTCTCACCAGCTTTTATTCAAGGACTAACGACCAACATCTCCTGTTATGGAAGCCAGAGCATCCACAGGCTCCAGAGGCCCACAGCGCATTTTTGAGTAACACTAAGAAAATGGGTAGGGGGTTGAAAGCACTTTATCTTGAAAGAATTAAGTTCAGATGAGTCTTTGAGAGGAAACAGTGACTCCTCAGGGAAACAGAGGGTCCTATTCCTCATTTCCGCACAGCGATGGGCCTCCCAGGCCACCACTCTGACGGTGGCCAAAGGGTGCAAGGCTGCCTCCCCGGTACACAGGAGAATTGAGCCTTGTAAAGTATAACCCCTCTCTCTAGTCCTATTAAACATGGTTTAAGGGTGCACACAGATTCACTTAACAGGGTTAACAGTTGCACTTGCCATCTATACCTATATCTGTATCTATAGATCTACATACATATTTAACCCTCTCCCAAGGTGGTTTTTTCCACACATCGACTGGTTGCCTCCCATACACGCCCTGACTGGGGCTGGGGATTGAGGCTGCAACTGAGGTACATGCCCTTCCCTGGAATCGAACCCAGGACCCTTCAGTCAGTGGCCCGACACTCTAACCACTGAGCGAAATTGGCTAGGTCTTCACTTACCATATATTTAAACCACCTACAAAGCACAGTGTTTTTTACAAAGAAAAATATTGCTTAGTTCACCTATTCTACACGTGGATATTTGTATTTGGGATTTGCTTAAAATGTTACACACCAGGAAGGGGATTCGACTGTTTAACTAAGTGGATTTCCCTTAGTCTTCACGGACCAACAGGTTTTACAGATTCCTCAAGGAACAGGCCCACTGTCCCAAACACTGGACTCCAGAGCACAGAAATGGTGAAACTGAATAGTTTCTGTTTGGCTTATCTGTAATTCTTTATGTTCTTGCAGTGAACATGTGTTGCTTTCATAATAAAAGTTATATTTACAGTCGGGCGTGGCTCAGTGGTTGAGCGTGGACCTAGGATCCAGGCGATCAGGGTTCGATTCCCGGTCAGGGCACATGCCTGGGTTGTGGACTACAGCCAATAAATGACTTTCATCATTGATGTTTCTATCTCTCTCTCTCCATCTCCTTTCCTCTCTCTGAAATCAATAAAGATATAAAAAAAAAACAACCAAAAAACCCAAGTATCTCTTATAAAAAAAAAAAAGTTATATTTAATTGAAAAATATATCTGGTGGGGTGGCATGAGCCCCTGGTATGCATGCTCTCACTCGTATTTTTATTAGGAAAGCTGGCATTATGCATTGGCCAACGGGACATACGGTGAGTGACCCACCTCTAGAGAGCATTCGAAGCAGTAATTCATGTTCTCTGCTAGTATGCACAATCCCACTGACGAGTTTTCTAAAGTGACGAATTCATTCACACATACATGGTACATCTGAGCTTCACATCATTAACCTGTTTAATGTGCTGGGGACATAGAACTCTCCCTTCAAACAGGACGCAACCTGGTAGAGACAGAGGTTGATTGCTGATGGCGACGCACAGCCAGCATGGTGACCAAGCGCAACTGAGGAAGCCAGGTGCTCGCAGGTGAGTGGAGCCCTGGGGGAGGTCTGCGTGGAGTCTCAGAGGAAGGACACACAGGACTGGCACGAGTAGGGACACACCTGACTGGGCACGAGCAGCAGCCTCTGAGAGGTTAGCAAGGTGAAGCAGCGACGTGTGTTGTTCCGAGAACTGCAACAGTGTTCAATGGGAACAGCTGGAACTACAGGAGGTGAGACTTACTACTGAAGCAAGAAAAGATGTGCGCACATGGGTCCCTGCCAGCTTGAGGACAGACGATGGCGGCGAGGTTGAGCAGGTGGGGTGGGCCGGGCACTTAGGTCTCCACGGCAAGTGTGAGGAGGAGCCCGAGGAGTTTCTAGCAGGGAGGAGCGTATGCTCCCGTCTGAGGGGTCCTGCAAGGAGCACTCGAGAAAGCACAGCGGGATGGTGGAGAGCAGAGGCTCTGATCCAGGGGACGAGATGAGGGCGATGTGTAGTGGGCAGGGCCACAGGGCTCGAGAGTGGGAGAGGGCATCAATGCAACGTGGGGTCTAGGCAGAGAAGCCAGTCTTCCAGACAGGACAAAGTTCACATGGAGACAGGGTTGCAGGGCCTGCCTGGGTCACCGCCGGTGGAAATGTGCCAAGGAAACTGTTTACTGTGTGAACACCCAGAGCTCACCAGGGGAGGGTCACGGTTACCCAGAACACAGGTAAAACAGAAAAGGGAAGAGTTCAGACCTGAGAAAATTCCTTCGATTAGAAGACTAAAATTTCTAATATAGCAAGATTTTAAGGTGGACCAAGAAAATGACAGCCCAAAATGTCAAGTTTCAAGTTTAAGAAATATATTGGAGTTTAACTCAAGATGACCAAGACTTAACTGGTATTTCCTACAATGAGCCAGAAAACGGCTGTTTCACAATTAAAAATAAAAGTCAAGGTTAAAGGGTTATTGCTGCGTACAGCTAAGATGGTCAGAATCAGATGAAATAAAAGGCAGGTATGTTAAAGGGCTATAGGGGTGCTGAGGGGAGTGTGGATCCTGACATCTCAGGAGAAGGTAAACAAGGGTCACAGAAGGTGTGTGACGGGGTCAGAGTGCACGGTCAGGGAGATGGGCAGCTGCCACAGGCCTGAATTAGACCCTGTGGGAGGGACCACCTGCTTGTTAGCTGCATCCAGAGAGGGCCTATATTTAAATAGGATCTTTATGGAAAAACAGGGCTTGGCTAAGGGAAAGAGGGAGGGGAGTGGGGGAGGCAGAGGGAACACCCAGAGGGAAGCTGGAAAGGCAGGCAGTCTGGCTGGCAGCCAGCGAGGTGGCCTGCTGTCCTCCACTGCCTCCTGGAGTCCTGGCTCCTTCATTACGAGTAAACCCCATCACTTCCAAATCCTTATGTTTAATATTCCAAGGTCTCACCCCTTAACAAAGCAATCTCCAGTCCCACCAGGGTCACCTCAACGCCGTGTTTTACTTCCCTCCTTACCTGCCTGGTGTCCAAGGTCTCTCTTTGCGTTGGTGTTACGTGCAGCTCTTCTACCTAAG